TCGTCAATTTAGACGTTAGACGTTTGTTATTATACAATGATCATTATAATGTCATAATAAGTATGAAAGTTCGATAAATTTAATATTTATTTAATAACAATCAATATAATTTAATGATTATTTTATAACAGTTTGATAAATTTAATGACTATTATATAACTTTTAGAAGTTTATTAACCAATATGATCATTTAAATGTACTTTAATGATTACTTGGTGTACTTTACCCTTTTGAAAAATTGTCATGGTTAGCTATAGATTAAGTAAAGCCCCTTGTTGTCTCTGACAAAGAAGACTCCCCCAAAAGAAGAAACAAAAAGGGAAACATCTGCTGCTCAAAACAGATATCTGACACCCTCTAAAGACACAGGGGTATTAGAAAACAACAAGCCCTGCCTTTCTTCTTCGATGAATCCTATAATGTAAATCAATTATTAAATCTTCCTTATTTCCCCGAAAAGAACCATACCTATCAACCAAAGGAAAAAGAACCATATGGATAACTTTCCGGCAGTCCTCTGTGGGTGGAGCTGGGAGGAGAACAAGTTGTTCGAGCTGGCTCTAGCAGTGGTCGATGAGCAACACCCAGATCGTTGGGAAGTGGTTGCAGCCATGGTCGGCGGTGAAAAAACCCCAGATGATGTGCAGAAACATTATGCGATACTTGTGGAGGATTTAAAGTTCATAGAGTCTGGTAAACTGGACCATAAAGTTGGAGAATTCGAGTCTTGTATTGAACTCGACTGTCTTCATAACTAAACTGGGCTGATGAAGATAACAAGTATCCATTTTTTTGCCTCTCTTCTACTTATTTATTTACATTCATGAACTGTCTAGTATTCTTGAGGGTATATATGCGCGATTACGATACAGTTTTTCACTATATTACGGACATAATTTAATATTATGGTCGAACCATGTTTCAAGCCCAAGTTCTCCCAGCTCTGTTTTCCCTTAAATTTTAAGGACAAGAGCAACAAGTTCCTTACCACTCTATTGTCTCTGGTGTGATAGTTTCTGGTGTTTATAGTGTCTTTTGGCTTTGCAGTTTACTGGTTGCCTGGTTCGATTGTGCATAAACTGATCCACGGAGGGCAGAGCTCGCGGGTTTACGAAAGCAGATGGTTTAACAATGGCAGTGCCGGAAGTCCTATCCAATAAGAAGGCATAGAATATATGAACAAGGCTGATTATACTAATGTATTATTGTTTGTGATGCTATTTATATTTGAGAAAATAACCTCAGTGACCGAAAATGTTTTATAATATACGATTTTAATTAAAAAAATTTTGATTTACGAAAATAAACAACAAATTCACAACGCGAACTCTAATTTCGCAACACAGTTTCCAAATTCGCAACGCGAATCTGTAAATCGCAACGCGAATTTATAAATCGCAACACATAAGTCAAATTCGCAACACATAAGTCAAATTCGCAACGCGATAGTCAAATTCGTAACGCGATAGTCAAATTCGCAACACAAAAGTCAAATTCGCAATGCGAATATGTAAATCGCAACGCGAATTTGTAAATCGCAACACAGAAGTCAAATTCGCAACGTTGAATTTCAAATTCGCAACGCGAAAGTCAAATTCGCAAAGCGGAAGTTAAATTCGCAAAGCTTGTTTATTTGCGCAACGCGAATTTTATTTTATTTTCGAATTCGAAACACAATATTAATTTCGCAACACAAATGTAAACAGTATTATCGCAAATCATAACCTAAAACCCTAAATCACAACTCAATCTCATCTCCATCTCTCTCTCTCTACAGCGACATCCGTCCCCATCTCCGACGAAATCCGTCCCATCTCCGGCGAAATCCGCCTATCTCCATCTCTCATAGCAACCCTCACAACCATTCACGGTCAGAAATGGAAAATCAACCACCGATAGTTAGTTTTTTTAATCTTTTATTTTTATTTTGAAAATTTTGTATTATTATTATATTTTTATTATATTGATGATAAATTTACTGGTAATTTCAATATATATAGATTAACCATTTCACTGAGATTGCTTAGTAAATTCATTCGGTTGCTGTCAATACCGCTAAACTGTTTAGTCTTTAACCCTGTGAAGTTAGTATTTGTCTTTGTTTTATCTTTTTGTTGAAGAAATGCAATTCATTCAAGTTTCAATTTACAGAATAATAGTTTTTGAAACTTAAATTCGCAACACGAAAAAGAAAATCGCAACATGATTTTAGTTTCGTGTTGCGATTTTCATTTTCGCGTTTCGAATTTAAGTTTCAGAAACTACTCTTATTCTGCAAATTGAAACTTGAATGAATTGAATTACTTCAACCAAAAAACAAAGACAAATACTAACTTCACAATGTTGCTAATTTAAGTTTCAAGAATAAACTATTACTCTTTATGTTGTCTTTGAACCTGCACTAAACCTAGATGTTATCCTTTTAAATGTTTATATAAGTGCTTACTTCTGGAATGTTATCTAATGCATTTTGTGAACTATGATGGAATAATGACTTGGGTGAATACCGTGCTAGTTTGAAACATATTTGGCTTTGTTTTCACTGTTTAATATCATATCTGTTTATAGAGTATAATTTGTAGTTTTTGGTATATCTAACTTGGTATGTTTATTGTTTTTGTAGAAATTTTTTTCGGCTCAATTGACCTTAAGGAATAAATTAAGCCTATCCACTAAAATTGCGTCGACGCTTACACCTCTACAAAGAAAATTGTTTGAGGATAATTGCTTCGGGTCATGTCTGAAAGTACAACATCCGAGTGGAGATGTTATGTTGACACATTTGTTTCTTCAGACCATGACTAACGATCTACCCGAGAGGATACAACGTAGTGATGAAGAGATATGGTTTCATTTTCCTCCGGCATATACTTGTTTTGACATGGTTGCGGATACTTGCTTCGGGCCATGGCTGAAAGTACAACATCCGAGTGGAGATGCTATGTTGACACATTTGTTTCTTCAGACCATGACTAACGATCTACCCGAAAATGACCGAAAATACTTTTTTTGACATGGTTGCGAAATTGGAGTTCGCGTTGCGAATTTGTTGGTCATTTTCGCAAATAAAAAAATTTGATTAAAATCGTATATTATAAGATATTTTTCGGTCACTGAGATTATTTTCTCTGTATATTTTCATGACGACCACTAAATTTTTTGGATAAACTTTAAATTACATTTTAATTAAAGTATTCTTAAATCATTATCTATTTAATGATATGATCATTTGGTATTCTTAAATATTTGATAATACTCTTGTCGCGAATGATAATCGATGACAAATGAATGATTTACTTACAACAACAGTCAAAGAAATTGATGTTTTTTTATACATTTTAAATTGATACACAAACTAAAATTCATAAAAAAAGTTAACTAAATCATCACAATGTTATTTAACGATTGATGTCTATATTAACTATAAAAATAAAATTTAATAGTAAAATTTAAACAGTTTAAAGTTGAATTGTAAATCGGATATCAAACCTAAAGTTCACTTATATTTGGAGTAGATTAAAAACAAAAAATCACCTGTCAATTCTGAAATGGTAGATACCAAAGACCCTTTTGAACAACCATTGAAGCAGCATCCAGAGGTTTCCATCCATCGGCTTGCTTGCCTCAACAAGCCGGAGATTCCTATGATCCTACTCGGAACTATAGCCGCGTCTGCCAATGGTGTCATACTTCCAACTTTTGGTATGCTACTTTCTCGTGTGATCAATACGTTCTTTAAACCACCTGATGAATTGAGAAGGGATTCAAGATTCTGGTCACTGATACTTATGACCCTTGGCCTGGCATCATTGTTGGCATGTCCAGCACAAACATACTTCTTTTCCATTGCTGGATGTAAACTGATCCAACGAATAAGATCGATGTGTTTTGAAAAAGTGATCCGAATGGAAGTTGGCTGGTTTGATGATCCAGATAATTCAAGTGGTTCGATTGGTGCGAGGCTATCAACCGATGCGACCTTAATACGTGGCTTGGTTGGAGATGCACTAGCTCAGATGGTCTCGAACCTTGCATCAGCCATTTCCGGTTTGGTCATTGCTTTCATTGCAAGTTGGAAGTTGACATTTATAATCCTAGGACTACTCCCTCTGATAGGGGTCAATGGATACGTTCAAGTAAAATTCATGAAGGGATTCAGTGCAGATGCAAAGGTATATCCGAAACTAACGACTTTGATATCTTAAAATGCAATATGTTTTTAAGCATATAATTCATTTAGATGTTATATAAATGATTGCAGGTGAAGTATGAGGAAGCAAGCCAAGTTGCTAACGATGCAGTCGGGAGTATACGACAGTGGCTTCATTTTGTGCAGAGGAAAAAGTGATGCAGCTCTACAGAAAGAAACGTGAGGATCCATTGCGAACAGGGATACGGCAAGGTTTGATTAATGGAGTTGGATTTGGAATTTCATTCTTCTTGATGTTAAATGTTTATGCAACCAGTTTCTATGTCGGATCTCAGCTTGTCGAGCATGGCGATGCAACATTCTCCGATGTTATTCAAGTAAGTCCATTTTTAAGACCTTTTTGTTATGTATACCCATATGATACTGAGACTGATTTCAATTTCTCATGTTTTGTATGCATTGGCAATGGCAACCGTTGGAATTTCTCAATCAAGCTCCTTTGTTTCTGATTCTAGCAAAGCCAAGACAGCTGCTGCTTCCATATTCGCAATCATCGACTGCAAGTATAAGATAGACCCAAGTGGCGAATCCGGGATGACGATAGAAAAAGTGAAGGGAGATGTCGAGCTTTGTCCATCCATGCTAGAAAAGTAACAACATTGCCATTTCGAACTCATTCATTCATCAGCTGAAGGCTAAACCATATCTTGTAACGTGTCAAACTTTTCCTTTCAGACTGTTGCCTTGGTTGGAGAAAGTGGGAGTGGCAAATCAACAGTGATTTCGTTATTGCAAAGATTTTACGATCCCGATTTGGGACATATTACCCTCGACGGCTTCGAAATCCAAACACTCCAATTGAAGTGGTTGAGGCAACAGATGGGTCTAGTAAGCCAAGAACCTGTTTTGTTCAATGACACAATCCGTGCCAACATTGCGTATGGAAGAGGAGGAAATGCGGCCGAGGCAGAAATATTAACTGCATCAGAATTGGCCAATGCTCACAAGTTCACCAGCTCATTACAACATGTTAGACATTATTAATAAAATCCAGGTTTAACTCGATTCATTCGTACAATCACTTTCCGACCATCACACAATTAATCAGTAACCAAACTTTTTCTGTTATTCAGGGATACCGTAGTAGGCGAGCGAGGGGTTCAGTTGTCGGGAGGACAAAAGCAAAGGGTAGCCATTGCACTAGCCATAGTTAAAACTCCAAAGATATTGCTATTAGACGAGGCAGTGAGTGCCTTAGACGCCAAGTCAGAGAGGGTAGTCCAGGATGCATTAGATAGTCATGGTGAACCGGACGACAGTGATGGTTGCTCATAGGCTGTCAACGATAAAAAATGCCGATACTATCGCGGTGGTTAAAAATGGTGTCATCGTAGAGAAAGGGGAACACGACACTTTGATAAACATCAAAGATAGTTTCTATGCTTCTTTAGTTGCACTTCACATGAGTTCTTCTATTGTTTAATTTGTGTGTGTTTCATTATTATTTTAAAATTTATAACTTTAAACTCTAAATAAAATACATAAAATATAAAAATCACGTATTTAAAATACTTTTTTTAATGTACCTCTTTGGAGTAATTTTATATAAAGACATGCATATTTATGTACTGATTTTTGTACTTTATCTTAATGGAAAAATCAATATTTCTATAAAGGGAACAACTTGGGAACAAATGAAGATATATGGTCATTTATTGATTTTTTTTGTATTAAGAATTTAAAAAAGAGAAAATAACCTCAGTGACCAAAAATGCCTTATAATATACAATTTTAACCAACTTTTTTTGGATTTGCCAAAATGACCAACTAAATCGCAATGAAATCGATAATTCGCAACGCAATCTCCGGTATCGCAAATCAGTTTCCAGATTCGCAACGCGATTCTGACTATCGCATTGCGATTTTCCTAATTCGCAATGCGAATACGTAAATCGCAATGCGAATACGTAAATCGCAATGCGAATACGTAAATCGCAATACGAATATGTAAATCGCAACGCGAATCTGACTATCGCAAACTATCGCAACAAGATTTTGACTATCGCAACGAGATTCTGACTATCGCAATACTGAATTTCAAATTCGCAACTCGATTTCTGAATTCGCAACAGGTTTTAGTTTCGCAATACAAATGTTTTGGGTATATAACTACGCAGCAGCAGCAACTCATAACCTAAATCCCTAAATCGCAACTCATTCCATCTCCATCTATCACTCTCTCCGACGACATCCGTTCCTATATCCAATGACATCCTTCCCCATCCGGCAACAGGTTTTAGTTTCGCAGCTCGTTTGTTTAGTAAATTAATTTACAATAATGAAATCATCTAATGTTGATCATGTTTGGATAGATTTGTGTTTTGGAGGGTCATGGGAGAATGGTCATGGTGTTTTACAATATATGCATTTACCCATGAATCTTCAACTAAAACTGTCATTAAAAAAGTTAACTTATGAAACTCTAATGTTACGTGTTGCAAATAAATTGAATTTAGAGCCCCTAAGTGGATTTAGGCTATCTTATCAGAGAAATGGTAAAGTTTATTTGTTAACCGACAATGAAGATGTTGAACGATTCATTGCTTACATTAGTGTTTCAAGTGATGATGTTACATTGTATGTTGTTGAACCTAGAAGTAGTGAAGTTGGGTCAGTAGCGGGTAGTAATCAACTAAGTTTTTCAACCCCAGTTTATGGTGCTCAAAATTTAATGGTTCCACCACAATTTCATCACTAAGCAAATATTGTTTCACCACATTTCCAATACCAAACACAATCTCAAAACCCACAACCTTTCCCTAATCCAAATCCCAATCAACTTTCAGCACCAAATTCTGGTTTTCGTATTGACCAGTTAGACGATGACGAACCAACAGAAAAAATTGTGAGAACTTATCAGTATTTGAAATTTGATCTTGGTCAATACCCGGACTTTGATCTTGGTCAATACTCGGATTTTGATGATTTTTCAGAAGAAGAAACAGACCCTGCGTGCAATGATTTTGATATTGGTCAATACCCGAATTTTGATGATGAAACAGCCGTTGCCGAGGAAGATGTTGTTGATGATAATTAGGAGGAAGTTACGACTGTAAATGAACATGTTGAACATCCATTCTGTAATTCATATAACCCTGAAGAAGAAAAAGAAGAAGAAGAAATCCCCAAAGAAAGGTCCCCGAAGAAAATGCCACGGGAGTATAACTGGAATATACCAGAATTACTTCAGATACCGGAAGAAGAGTTGGTAAATATAGCAGTTGATTGTTACACAAAAATTATTCGTATCAAGAAAGATGATTGTTTTGATACAAAGAAGACTTGAAGATAGCTTTGTATACGAAATGTGTGGAAGATGACTATCAACTAAAAGTTAACAAATCAAGCAAAGATCGTTTCGAAACAAGGTGTATGATTGAAAAAAATTGTACGTGGTGTATGATTGCAAAGAGGATAAAAGATTGTGAAATGTTTCAAATTAGGACTTTTATTGATAAACATACATGTTCAAGAACCCAAGTTTTTCCTCACCATAGATAGGCAAACAAAAAGGTGTTGGGTGGTTTTCTGGCTGAGTTAATGTTTTTGAATGGTAGGGTATATCGGGGACATGAAATTATGACTAACATGAATGCTCGGTTCAAGATTAGTATCTCATATTCTCAAGCTTGGAGAGCCAAATGTTATGCCTTGAATTGTTGAGGGGGTCGCAATAAGCATCGTTTGCCCAACTGCCGGCTTATTGTCACAATTTAAAGCTGAAAAATCATGGGTCGGTAACTCATATCAAAATATATAGAGATGGACGCTTTGAGTTGCTGTTTATCGTCATTGGTGCTGCGGTTAGTAAATCAATATAATTTTGTTAACTCATTTTTGTTAGTTACATGCATTTCACATTTAAATGATTATATTTCTTGTGTATATGATTTTGTAGATTCGTTCATTTATTACTTGCATGCGCCCAGTTATTATAGTTGACGGAGCACATTTAAAAGGTCGATACCTTTGAGTAAACTTATTAGCAGTAGTCATGGATGCTAACTATGTGATACTGCCAATAGCTTACGAGGTTGGCAAATCTGAAACCTCTGATTCATGGACATGGTTTATGGGGCATCTTAGGGATTGCATAGGTCCTATTAGCAATATGACAATCATATCCGATAGGGCAAACTCAATTGACAACGCTGTTAGAAGGTTTTTCCCATATGCTTTTCATGGACTTTGTGGTGTTCATTTGTATAGAAATCTAAAATCAAGGTCTGCTGGTATAAAAAATCACAAATGGACATACTGGAAGGCTGTAAAAGCTTATCAGGAAGTGGATTTTAATATAAACTGTTTAAGACGTGTTTTGCCTCAGTGTGCTCAAACACTAGAAGATGTCAGATTTGAAAGATGGTCAAGAGTACATCAACTTGGAGCAAGATATGGTTTCATGACGTCTAATAGTGTAGAATCAATCAACGCTCTAAGTCGTCATTCCCGGAAATTACCCATTACTATGTTAATGGAGTTTTTTCGAGCCTCTATTCAACAGTGGTACTACAAGAAAAGAAACCATGCAGATATTATTTCTTTAAATTCGTAACTTATCATATATTTTACTAAGTATTATTTATTTAAATTTACAAGAACATTGAAACATCGTGTTACACCATGGACTGAAAAAAAGATAACGAAACGTGTTGTGAAGTCAACGTCATGGAGAGTTGAACCATGTTCAAACACTTTGCTTGAAGTACTGGATAATAACTTAAATGAGCTTGTCGATCTAAATGCAAAGACGTGTAGTTGTATGAAATGGCAAACATCTGGTTATCCGTGTGGCCATGTTATAAAAGTTGCTCTTCATCTAAACCAAGATGATTCAAGCGCATACGCTATGGATTGCTACACTACAAAAGTATATCGACAGACTTATGTCGAGATTGTCTACCCTATTCCACATCCTTCTGAGTGGGACATACCAGATGACTTACAAACAGTTTTGCCACCAGCTATGGACAGAAGGCTACCTGGCCAACCAAAACGTCACGATCGTATACCGTCTAAGGGTGAAGAGAAGAAGAGATCGACATGTAGTCGGTGCAAGGAAAGTGGTCATACAAGGTTGACATGTGGATCACCAGTGCCATCACAATCATCTTTTCCTCTACCAAAATATGGATCCTCATCAAAATCCCAATCACAACCGGCTTCACCTTTTGGGACTGTTAACTTAGGTGATTTTTAAATGCAAACGTTGTATTATGTGTATATTATGTGTGAACTTTTATCATTTTCAGTTAGGCATGCATTAGTAACTTGAGTTTGAACATTGCTATGATATGTTCAGTTGTTATCACTTATTAGACATTCATTTGACTATCGCAACGCGGAAATCGCAACGCGAATATGACTATCGCAACACGGAAATAACTATCGCAACGCGGAATTGACTATCGCAACGCGGAAATAACTATCGCAACGAGAGAATCGAAATGCGAAATGAAAATCGCAACGAGAGAATCGCAATGCGAAAATGAAAATCGCAACGCGAATTTAGTTTCGCGTTGCGATTTTCATTTTCGCATTACGATTCTCTCGTTGCGATAGTTATTTCCGCGTTGCGATAGTCTGTTTTGCATTCAACATAATGCAGATTGAAATCAACAAATCAACTATTATATTTTAATCAATTAAACAAGCACAAATAATAATTATGTACATATCAATTAAACAAATAAACATTTACAAATCATCTTTTACAAATCAATTAAACAATCAAAAAATAATAATAAGAATTATTTCCTCATCAATTATTGAATCAACTTTTGCACCCATACATCCATTTCACGCAGCTCACTTCAGGATTAACCTACAGAAACCAAACATTGAATCAACAATACTTCCTACACATCTAAAACCTACAGACATCAAATTATTGAATTCTAGCTACTTAACCAAACATTTTCAAACCAAAAAGAGTATATATGTTTAACAACACTTGCATTTGACTTACAAATTGTTTATGGACACTTTCATAACGCGGATGCAGATAGGCAGCGCCTCGCATATATCGTTCTAGCCATAAAATGCCGAAACCACAAGCCTACTGCACCTCTATCTCTCTATGGGAGGTAAAAACTGTGTACTTCATGTCGTCAAACGCTCCAAGCACATGCATACGAGATGACCACAATCCCCTTTGGCTTCCTTCGTTTATTGTGGCGCGGTCTCGTCTCTGATAATTGTAACTACTTTGGCTTCTTGTTTCCAGA